TTTCTCAAATTCCCCACAACCAGTGAACCTCCCAGCTTTAGAAAGTTGGTAAGGATGTGACTCAGGTGCTTTACCTCACCAGTAGCTGTCCTGCTATAATTGTAATTGACAGTTTTCTTCATGAAGGAGGCCGACAGCAGCAGCTCAGTGGCTCTCAGAGCAAAACAACCCAAACCTCAGGAGTTACACGGTCATACAGGTGACATGAACTATCTGAAAAACTAAAAACATACATGTGAGAGTTTGATTAACCCTATTTAGGACTTTCATATTACCATGCGTAGAAGGTCCTAAACCAAATGGCCTAGGGTTCAAAACACCCCAAAAATCCTGAATAGGGTTAATTCGCTGAAAAGGGGGAACAATGTGGCGCCTTCAGTGCAACAGCTGAGGACCTACTGCAGCCACAAGGTGGAGACAAAGACCCAAGAACAGGTGATGCCTGGAGAAGCAACACTAGAGGAGTTAAACCACATGAATGTAAACATAAAAAAATATCAGTCATTTCAATACCAACAACTCCAACAGACATCCTGCATTCTTTTTCAGGTAAAGTAATTCAGACAATACTCAGAGAAACCGATTTTCTTTATCTGTTTCGTGGGATTCTGTCAAGCTCCAAGTCAGTCACACTTCTGTGAAACCAACCTGTCCAGGTAGGAAGCAACACTGATGGTGAATCAGTTCCACCTGCTGTTGTGCAAATGGAGCAGACACCAGGTGGAGATGAGCGGCAGGTAGCAGGACAACTATTATAAAGGAGTGCAGGTGGTGACCACAGACCAGGTCTCTGTTCTCGTCCTTTCTGGCTGAAGTTTTGGTCACTTTTGCATCTTGTCAGTGCTCTCAGCCCCAGAGGTAGCATGAGGCGTGTCTACAACCCACACAAGCTGCTCAGGTGGTGCAGCTCATCCAGGATGGACATCAATGCAAGCTGTGGCAAGAAGGTCCAGAGCCTGGAGGAGATACCAGGAGACAGGCCAGTACACCAGGAGACGTGGAGGGGGCTGTAGGAGGGCAACAACCCAGCAGCAGGATGCTACCTCCTCCTCTGTGCAGGAGGTCCAGGAGGAGCTCCAGCAGGCCACGAATATGCATGTTTCTGCTCAAACTGTCAGAAACAGACTCCATGAGGTGGTCTGAGGGCCCCACGTCCACCAGTGGGGCTTGTGCTTACAGCCCAGCACCGTGCAG